ATGAGTGAGAGAGCTTGGTTCCACACTCTCTCACACAGTACACGCTGAAACTTTTTGGTCTTTGAAATTGCGAGTAAAATAAAACTCAAAGGCCGGGCGCGGTGGCTCAAGCCTGTAATCCCAGCACTTTGGGAGGCCGAGGCGGGTGGATCACGAGGTCAAGAGATCGAGACCATCCTGGTCAACACGGTGAAACCCCGTCTCTACTAAAAATACAAAAAATTAGCTGGGCATGGTGGTGCGTGCCTGTAATCCCAGCTACTCAGGAGGCTGAGGCAGGAGAATTGCCTGAACCCAGGAGACGGAGGTTTCGGTGAGCTGAGATCGCGCCATTGCACTCCAGCCTGGGTAACATGAGTGAAACTCCGTCTCAAAAAAAAAAAAAAAAAAAAACTCAGAGTAATTTTAATTTACATTTCTCTTATGGTTTTGGTTTCACATTTTTCCACATGTTTAAGAGCCATTTCTATTTTCTAAGAGTTGTGAATTCATACCTTTATATCAAAGTAATCATTTTTTTTACTGGTTTATTGTGTTTTTATTTATCACTTTACAGGAACTTTTTATATATAGGGAAAATGAGTATGTTATCTATGATATGAGTTACAAATATTTTTCCAGCTTATCTTTTGATTATGATGGCTTGTGTTCTGCCAAAGGAAATTCTTTATGTTCCTGTCTTTATTAATCTTTTCTTTGTTGTCTTCTCAATTTCACAGTATAGTTTGAAGAGCTTTCCCTACTTTGTTTTTTGTGGTTTTCTTAAACTCAAATGTTTTTATTTCATTCCTTTTTAAAAATTTTTCGTGGGTACATAGCAGGTATATATATTTACGGGGTACATGAGACATTTTGGTACAGGCATGCAATGCATAATAATCACATCACGGAAAATTGATTATCCATCCCTTCAAGCATTTATCCTTTGTGTTACAAACAAATCCAATTTTGCTCTTTTGGTTATTTTACAATGTACAACTAAACTGTTATTGACTGTAGTCCCCCTGTTGTGCCATCAAGCACTAGATCTTATTCATTCTATTTTTTTTGTATTCATTAACCATCCTCACCTCCCGTTACCCACCCCTCCCCACCACCCTTCCCAGCCTCTGGTAACCATCATTCTGTTCTCCATCTGCATGAATTCAGTTGTTTTGATTTTTAAATCCCACAAATAAGTGAGAACATGTGATGTTTGTCTTTCTGTTCCTGAATGATTTCACTTAGCATAATGACCTCCAGTTCCATCCATGTTGTTGCAGCTTTCCCTACTTTGAGTTATAAAATAATTTTACATGGATTCACTAGACAATATTAATATTATTTTTTTTCATTATTTCATATAAATATTTAGCATATTTGGAATTTGTCCTACCATAATATATACAGTACGTTTTCAACTTTATGTTATTTTAGATGGTCACCCCGCTGTACCAATCCCATTTGTTGAATAGTCCATCTTTTACTTACTACATTAACATACAACCTTTATCATATACAAAATTTTCATATGCACTTATATCTAATTCTGAGGTTTTTGTTCCACTCATCAGGTTTTTTTCTATATGTAAGGCAGTACTACACTGTTGTACTTATTGAGGCTTTATTCAATGTATTAATTGCCCTCATTACTTTTTTTCAGAAGTAGTTGGCGTTTATTTTCTATTATTTCTTCTAACTGCTAGTTTTTGTATCCAGAAATGCTGCTGATTATTTACACACTAATGCATTGCCATTCCACCCGTTTTAACTGTCTTCTTGTCTGCAGTGTTTTGGTTGATGTCTGGGGTGTCCTGAAGTCCTGTCACACCACCTGCCATTCTCTGTTATCACTGCTCCAGTTAGTTCTCCAGACCTTCCCCTGCAACCACCTTCATGAGATCGTCAGTGACTCCATGTTGCTAAGCCAAAGATGAACTCCTCAACTGCTGGATACTACTAATCAATAGCTCCATCGGGGATTCTGGAACACCATGCTTTCCTAGGTACACCCTCTGTGGAAAGCGGTATGGGGATTGCCCAGAGAACTAAAAACAGAGCTACCATTTGATTCAGCAATCCCACTACTGGGTACCTACCCAAAGGAAAATAGATCATTATTTTAAAAATATACCTGAATGCGTGTATTTACCACAACACTATTCACAGTAGCAAAGATATGGAATTAACCTAAGTGTCTACCAATAAATGAGCAAAGAAAATGTGTGTGGGGGGGTATACATACACACATATATACACTATGGAATACTATTCAGCCATTGAAAAAGAATAAAATTATGTCTTTTGCTGCAACATAGATAGAACTAGAGGCCATATCTTAAGTGAAATAACAGAAAGTCAAATATCACATTTTCTCACTTATAAATGGGAGCTAAATAATGTGTACACATGAACATAGAGAGTGGAATAATAGACACTGGAGACTCAGAAAGATGGAGGGTGGAAGGGGGCCAAGGGTTGAGAACAGGTGCAATGAACACTATTCAGGTGTTTGTTACACTAAGAAGCCAGATTTCACCACTATGCAATCTATCAATGTAACTAACTGACACAAACTGATCACTCCATGGCACTTCAGCCTAGACAAAAGAATAAGACCCTGTCTCAAAAAACAAAACACACCGATAACATAGAGCAATTCAGTGTTCCTTTCTCAAACTTTTCTAACAGAGAGAAGCATGTTAATTCTTACTGAAGAAAACCAAGTAATTAATAAAAGGTATTTGGGTGTGTCAGAGCATAGGGATTAGTTGTGACTTTACAAACTAATAAATTCCTGGGTAAACCAAGCACGTTTTTTCTTGGATAAAATTTTGATTTAAAAAAAAATTGTTCTCTTTTTTTTTTTTTAACTGTTTTTTCTCTGAACCTATGGATTATATCGAATTAAATTTTTTGTCAAATTATGGATTTCAAGAAAAGGAATGATTTGGTTCTTTAAAGATGGATGAATGAACTTCTGTATCCGAGTCTTGCTTCAGGGTATTATTTCTAGTAATAGTATACTGATTACAAATTTTGTATATCTACCAAGACTTTGAAAGCTTTCTTTATTTGACTTTGAAAGCCATTCTTTCTTATCCTCCCTTTCTCCTTCTCCTTCCCCCCAGAATCTGCAACTTCAGTACTCGTGATGGAAATCTAATTGTAAACATCCTAATAATAGCATTACAGTCTTTCTTTACAACTTGGGATCAGTTCAGACTTTACTAGACTGAACCCTGATCTCAGCAGTGCATCGAGCCTGCTCCCCTGAGCCAATCTTCCACCCCTCTCTCCTTCATCTTATTTGTCTTGCCCTTGCCTTGTTTTGGCATTGACACATCTTGGAGGCTCAGACTCAAACCTCCTATACCTCCTATACCTACACTCCCATTAGTGTCTTTTGATGGGAAATGTATGAGAAAGTTCTCTTATAAATAGTTATACTTTATATCCATACATTATGTTCCTCCTTAACAAATACACTTGTGTTTCCTCTGTAAATATAATTTTATAACTACTCTTCTCACTTTAGGAATCCTCCTGAATTCCTTTTTCACAGAAAAGGGGTATGCCAGTTGTTGGTTTATTTATTTAAGCTCCACCCCACCCCTCTTTGCCCTATGTGTGATGCTGGTGTTGGACCCTCTTAACATTTTTCCTTTGCCAGTTGGGCATGATGTTAAACTTCACCCATAGAGGGTGCTAGAGGAACAAGCAGGAGATGAAGACATCGTTTCCTAATCTTGTGTGCTTTCCTTCCTTTCAGCTCCTGTGGTGCTCTTCTGTGTAGGACACCCAGTGGCACTCACCCCAGAGATCTGAGTGGCATCCCAATGCCAAGGCAATTTCCTGACCATTTCTGTGGCACCTCAGTAGGACGTCCATGATGTTCACCAGAAGCCCACTTATCTTAATCAGCTTGGGCTGCTGTGACAAAATACTACAGCCATGCTGTGAGTTGGGGCTTCAACATATAAATTTTGGGAAGATACAGTTCAGTCCAGAGCATTGCCACTTCCACAGCTGGCTTCCCAGGGGGTTTAGTAACTTCCTACCTCCTGCCCCCATCCAGCCAGCTTCCCAAATGAGTTTCAGGAACTCTAGCTGCATTCTCAGAATTAAGCTACAACCTGGGCGGCTTCCTACCAAGTTTCATTAATACCTCAGTGGAGCTCTTATTTGTTAGCTTTGGCTTGAAGTACCCAGTAAACTATCTGCCATCCAATGGGATACATATTTTCCAACAAGATCTAGATCTCAATCTTGTGAGGGGCCCAATCTCAAATTTATACTTCTTGTTTTCTGTACTCTTAGTAGTTAATGCTCTTATCCATTAATAACTCCTTATATTAAAATTTCCCTTTTCAAATTACTGCCTGATGCCGTCTCCCGAAGGGACCCTGACTGATAAAACGGTTCTTCTCTATCTAGCTCTCTCATCACTGCTGCTGCTTCCACAATTTTGATCTAGTTAAGGTCCAGAAACTGTGAGAAAACATTCATAAAAGGAGTCGCATTACATATTTAGACGTGAAAGAAGACAATGAAAATAGAGTGGAGCAGAACGGCATTGGAGGGATTTTTTAGATGGAATGAGCAGAAATTCGTTAACACATGGATTTGTAGGTGTTGCTGAGAAATGAAAGGAAAATTGAGGTGGCAGACACTGGGGCAGGATTTCACAATCCAGTCGTCTGTGTCCCCTGCCTCCAGGAATGAAGACCAGGTTGGGCAAGGTGGGAGGGAAAGAGGAAAGAGAAGGAACAAGGAATAATTGACTGGGAATGAGGAGCCTAGACAAAGAAGGGACTGGAAATAGCAACAATGTAACCACAGGGGTCTAGAGGAAGGAGGTCTGATTTGGGGAGGGGTTGATGCAGGTGTCTATGCTGTGACCACTAAAGATGTCTCCTCACATTTAAACAACAGGCCTAGGCTCTTCCTTTACGTGGGTATGCAATGATTTCCCCTTTGTACCAAACAGGAAGTATATAACAAAAGAACGCACTGTTGCAACAGATTCAACCACTTAAGCATTTATTAGATGCTTATTGTGTGCCATATCCCAGCTTCTGTGGACACGGAGCTCAATGACTCTGTATCCCTGCCCTGGGGGGCTCACAGCCAGGTCTCCTGAGGGCAGAGTGAAGAGGAAGCTCAGTATTTCTCCGGCAGGCCTTCAGGTCGGAAGTGATTGGGGTCTTTGCCACTCCGGCCCCATTCGTTGGCAGCCTGGTCAGCCAGCGAGTCCTCCGCACCATGGCCAAAGAGTTGCTGGAGATCTTCTCTGGCATCGCTGTAGTCCGGGCACGCAGAAGGAGATTGATCACCAGGCTGGTGAGCGACAGCTCACCCTCCCACTCTCCCCACTGCAAGGCAGGGCTCTGGGAGGAGCTCAGAAAGGCCAAGGAAGGAGGGGTAAAAACACTGACCCTGCCTGGGCACGGCCCCACTCAGCCAGGCTGGGCACCACTAGGCTGGATGAACAGCACCCAGAGACAGAGGGTGAGGAATCACTCACTCCCACCATCCACTCAGACCCTCGCACTGAGCACAGAGGCAGAGAGGGCAAGAGCAGGAGGGGCCGCAACCTCTAACTTCTCTCAAGGAGCTTGTCTTCCTCCTGACAGCTCAAGGCAGGCAAGCTCTGCTCACCCAGCCCTGGTATCCCAGAAGCTCGGTTACCTGATCACTCTTGCAGCCCAGGCACCCCCAGGTCCCCTTTGGGCAGCGTCATAGTTCCCCCGAGCGTGGAAGTATTTGTCTGCGCCGATGTAATTGGCTTCTCTCATGTCAGAGTAGGCTCTCCACATGTCCCGAGCCCCTGGAAAGGAAAAGAAAGGAAAGGCAGAAGGGACGTCAGGAGAACATAAAGACTCTGACAACCCCTTAGAGAGGAATGAAAGAAGGACCAATCTTCCATTGATTTCAAGCTTTCAGCCTGTGATCATAGCAGCCCTGGATACCATGGGTTGAGAAGCACATTCTTTCATCCTAGTTGGCTTCTCCACGTCCGCTGACGAAGCTGCTTAGGATAAGATCCAGGAGTGCACATGAATGAGGTGGTGACAAAAAAGACTGATGCTGAGAAAGGTGGCAGACACAGAGCACTTCTGCCCTGCCTACTAACATATATGTACTTGCAAATGGAACACACGGTATTGTGACCTGAGTTCCAGAGGCTGTTGGTAACATAAAAGTCCCTAAATGGACCCTCAATAAGTGCACTGATGCTGTGGGTGGCTTGAGGAAGCAATAGAGCAGTGGTGCTCAGCCTTGGCTGCACCTTCTTTTTATTTATTTATTTTTTTTAGACAAATTCTTGCTGTCACCCATGTTGGAGCACACTGGCACGACCTCAGTTCACTGCAACCTCTGCTTCCTGGGTTCAGGTGATTCTCCTACCACAGCCTCCTGAGTAGCTGGGATTACACGTGCCTGCCACCATGCCTGGCTAAATTTTTGTATTTTTAGTAGAGACACGGTTTCACCATTTCGGTCAGGCTGCTCAGGAACTCATGACCTCAAGTGATTCACCCACCTTGGCCTCCCAAAGTGTTGGAATTACAGATGTGAGCCTCAGCTGTACTTTCTAATCACCCAGAGAGAAACTGAAAGTTCCAATGCACAGGTCACACCCCAGAACAGTTCCTGCAGACTCTGTTGGGGAGTTGCAGGCATGAGTAGTTCAAGTGCCTCCAAGGAGTGGCTGAGATTCATAACCATCAAGCTCTGGGATGTGATCGGTGAGGCATCTACCTGGCAAGAGCTCTGGCTTCAACCACAGCCGGGCTCAAACCCTTGCTCTGCCATCGGCTAACTGGCAGTAAGTCCCTGGGCATCAGCCTCAGCTGCTCTAAACCTCAGCTTTCTCGCCTTCAAAGAGGGGAAGGTGCCTGTCTCACAGAGTCATTCTGAAATTAAGCGAAAATGCTCTGGTCCTTGTGGGAGCTTGCTGCACGTCAGTTCCCATCTCCTGTCAAGAGGGCTGGGGAAGGAAAGGAAACAGAACAAACCAGGAAGGGAGCCCCTGGCAGAGCGAGGCTAAAGGGCCCTGGACATTATCCCACTAGGAACTTGAAGGAGGAAGGAGAAAGAAGACAGAAGTGTCAACAGCCTCAGTGAAACTCTTATGCGATTTGTGCTGAGGGCTATTTTACACCAATTGCAGACCTTATTTTGCATCTTATACTCAAAACAAACAGCTCAGCTGCTCCTGGGAAGGATGATTGTTTTTTGTCTGAGTAACTGACTGACAATAATCCTCAACCCTCTAATCTGTTTGGCAGCTCCCCAGACACCTGGCACATTCTGCACATTGGGCAGCACAACCCAAGGCAGCAGCTCAAACCTTAAGAAAGCACAAAAGTACCCGTGTGCATTGTTACTGGATTCCCCCATCCCTTATGGCACAGGAGATGTGATTTTGATAAACCTTGCAGCAGCTTCTGAAACGTGATCCATCCACTGAACACACCCTGAGAGCCTGCACTACGGGGAAAGGAGATATTTCTAGGAGCTCTGAAGGACCGAGATGGGCAATCCAGAGAACCCTAGTTCTTGGCAGGCCTTAGCAACGCAGACACTAGCAACTCTCCGGTTCAAAAGCAGCCTTCTGAAAATGTCATTTCCCCATTTTATCAGGTCCAGGGTGGTGTTTCTCTTCAGAAATCCTGCATACCTTCTGAAGACTTACCACCAAAAGCCTCGCCAATGAATGAAAACCAGCTGTGGACACCCAGAACCAAAGAGCAGAAAACCAGGCCCGTGAGAAGCTTCATGGTGCTGAAATGAAAGGAGAGGTCAGGCAGTCGCCTACAAGACCGCCACACCTTCCCTTGGGACTTACATTCTAATGACAGCCTCGTTATTTCCACTGGCTCTTATTAGAATCTTAGTGGCTCATCTAGGAAACCTTGTAACAGGACCTCACTCAGCGCCAGAAGCCCTCGGTTCTGAACCCATCAGCCCTGACTGTGTAAGAGGATGCCAATGTGGCATTGATGGAGGAAGGCAGCAGTTATGACCAGACTCCCTCAAGCAGCCTGTAATTCCCCACAACCCATGGACCATGGGTTCCCTCTGCCCAGCACAGAGCTCACACAGGATAAACACAAAGCGGGATCACTATTTTTCATTCTTAAAGCCTTTAGCACCTGGGATTCCCAGGTGGTCCCTCATCCAAGTACTACCAGGCCTGATCCTGCTTACCTCCCTAGATCAGAGGAGCTAAGACACCTTCAGAATGGTCTGGCTATAGGCCCCAGGATGACTGTTTTTTTTTTTTTTTAAAGGAAATGATAATCTTTTTGGGAAAGAGAAAACATAAAGTTCAAAAAAAATCACTCCTTGGCATACTCCTCACCTGATCTGTGCTGGAGCCGAGCTACTGGTCCCTGCTGCCAGGGAGAGGTGGCTGCTATTTATACTGAGCCTTCCCTGCTGGGCTCATGGGAGGGAAGAAAAGCTGGATGTGGTCCCTGGGGAAAGTCCCTGCAGGTCATTTCCCCGACAAAAGGGTCTAAGACAAGTTCCTGGATGCCAGTGTTTTCTTCATCCTGGGTCATTTATCCCAGTTCTGCAACCAGAGGGAACAAGATAGGTTTGCTGTGCCTTGGCAGCTGTCAGGGCAGGAGACCTACTCTGCTCCTCAGCATTGAGGGGCTGAGGCTGCGGAGTTGTGAGTGGGAGCCCCTCGATGGCAGCACCTGAGCTGCTGGACGGTGTGGAGTGGGGGTGGCTCTTCAGCCAGCTCCTGACTGTACCGGTCATTCCCTCAGGATGCGCCCTGCTGGGCCACATGGCAGATACCTCTGACATGAAGTCCCTGTGAGTTCATGTCTAAAGCATTAAGCTTTAAAAATGACAGCCTAGCCCCGCCACATCTCATGTGTGTCTGGAAGTCTCCTTCCACCCCTCTGTCTGGATATCCTGAGATTTCTCAGCACAGGAAAACCCTGCTCAGCTGGCCTAGCCAATTAGGCAATGCTTTCTCTCAGCTGGCTCCTGAGCCGGGGGGGGGGCAATATTAAGGGGAGTACTTTCTGTTGCCCCAGCCTGGTCCTGGAGCCCCACATTGGGAGGATGAGAGTGTGATGTGATAAAATGGCAGCCCAGCTGCGGACGTGCCCGGTTCTCAGGCAGAGAAGGGTGGGAGAGCTCTTGGTCTGCTGTATTGTCATGGAGGGGTGCAGGGGGCACGCAGGTCACTCTCTCGTGAGAATATGAGCAGGGTCAGACTAGCTCTGCAGAGGCTGGTAGAGGAGCATGGTGGCCAGAGATGGGTCAGGGCCAGAGCACAGCAGGGCCAAGGCCAGGACGTGCAGAGAAACCAGGAAATTACAAAATGTTTAGAACTAAACAGGACTCCCTGTTTGGCTAACTAATCAGATTGAGAAAGGCTTTCTGGTAAATCTACAAATTTGATGTTGTTCAATCAGAAGCAGTAAATTTCCTATGCTGGAGTTTCCTGCCAATGAATGTAAATGGAAAAGGAGTCTTTCTGACAAAATATTTTATTGTTCATCTCAACTGAAAAACTTCTCTATTTTTCAAAATTGCTATACATGTTTAAAGATTTAGATATTTGAATAGCCGAACTGGTACAGAAGGTTTAATGATGATTCCTAAGACATACTTATTAATCATTTGAAATTGAAGCAAAACTTAAGAAGAATTATTGGAATTTTAAAACCAATTTTCCCCTTCCCAAATGAATTCTTAGTTTCATAAATACTATGCAATTCCATAAGAGATTTGGGGTTTTGAGATGTCTATAATCTCTTACTCCCTTTGCAAATGTTTGAAAAGGAATAAAGTAAAAAAAAATTTTTTTTGAGAGAGTCTTGCACTGTTGCCCAGTGGTGCAATCTCGGCTCACTGCAACCTCCACCTCCTGGGTTCAAGCGATTCTTCTGTCTCAGCCTCCTGAGTAGCTGGGACTACAGGTGCCAGCCACCACGCACGGCTAATTTTTTGTATTTCTAGTAGAGACAGGGTTTCACTATGTGTGCCAAGCCAGTCTTGAACTCCTAACCTCGTGATCCACCCACCTCGGCCTCCCAAAGTGGTAGGATTGCAGGCATGAGCCACCATGCCTAGCCAAAGTGAAATGTTTCTTAACAGAATGCAGAGTTCTGTTGTCCTTTGGCAACACCAGTTCCAGACTCTGAGGGTGGCTCTTGCTGTTGCCGACAGTGGGCTGGTGACCAAATCCCAACATGCTCCCCCTATGAGTCCTGATTCATTCATCAGTTAGAGGCCAGCAGGCTTCAGAGAGGCGTGAACCTCAGCCAACAACCTATAGGGGAAGAGACACAGAACTAAATGCAGACACGTTTGAATTCTGGGGCCCAGAGATGCAACTTGGAAACTCCACGCTAGGAGGAAAGGGTTCTCTCTCTATGAGAGGGTATGGGCTTTTTGAGAAGGGACACACAGCAAACACAATTAGGTGTCACCCCTTAATTAAATAGTTGGTCCTTTTGCATTCCTGGTGATTCACTTGCTAAGTGGAAGAAACCAGAGGGAATCTCTTCTCCTGCTCTTCCAGTAATCGATAGCCCATGATCTGGCTTTACTTCTGTAAAGTGGCAGAAGACCTTTTGACAGCTGAGCCAGCTCTGATTTTATTTATTTTAATAAGACAGGATGGGAATAAGCAATGATGTTAGTACCTGGGGATTGTTCTTTGGGAGAAACAATCTTAGAATGATTAGTGACAACCCTTGCTTTCTCTTTTCTTTCATTATACTTTTTGTATACATAATTTTTCCCATTAATTTTTTGGAATCTCACTGATTTATTATAAGTATAAGCTTTCTGTCTACACATGTGTAATCATTTTTTCCCCAATTATGTCTCTTTTTCACGGAGGTGCAGCCTAGACCTGGTTAGCCGCCATCTCCCCTCATTGTATGCCCAATATATATGGTAGTATCTGCGGCATAGAAGGCATTCTATGAGTGAATGGATAATGACTGGTGATGAATGAGTAAATGAATGAGCATGTCATTGTAAGAAATCCTAGAATAACACAAATAGTTCCCACTACCTAGAAACACAGATACCAGTTGATACACAGCTTTCTACATTGTGTTTCACCATGGGAACATGTCTTTGAACAAAAATGGGATCATATTCTATTGCACTCTTTCCCTTAAGAGATTGTCTATACTTCTCCAGATCATTAAATGCTCTTCCACAATATCAGTATATGGCAGAGGCAAGGTCATACCAGGTCTGTCTGACGCCGGGGCTAGGCTCCTAACTTGTATGCCATACTGCCTCCAAGTCTAGGAGGCTGAGTTTTAGGATCTGTGATGGGAACTCAGTGTCACAGCCTCTACTGGAAAGGTATTCTGGTATTTTGTAACAGAACTTTCTGTTAGAGATAAGCATGGCAAAATTGAATGGGGACGAAGTTCAGGTTTCTGCTGCCAGGAGCTGAGATTGCTGTGACCGACAGTATTCTCCCAAACCAAATCATCCAACCTGGAATTACCGTAAACCATACCTCATCTTTTCAAGAGGTGTCCAAGTTCCCAGAAAAGAACATTTGTTAAGGGATGCAGGCAAGGAGGTGAAGAAGAAAGAGCACTGGCCAAGGAAGGCGTCATGGTGTCCTGGGTTCTGGTCCTTGAATGAGCCATTTATCTTCTCGGCAGCTTCTCCATCTGAAAGCAGTTTGGAGGCAGAGTTTTTTCTTCATGAGTAAAAGAGAGTCATGCCTAGGAGACGTGGTGTACATGTTAGAAAGAAGGAATTGGCTGTGACTCTATAGAAGATGAATTCATAAACAAATTGCCCTTTCCCAGGGAGAACACTTGGATCTAGTAAGTAGAGATCTCGAAAAGTAGAAGACCTGCCCTGTTAGGCCTGTGGCCTCCAAGTCTGAATGCTGTGTGTCAGCTTAAAACTAGTTTCTTGTTTATAAGTGTTTCATATTAAGCATGTGTTGGGAGCACTCCTTGTCCACTTTCACTAGCGAGTGTTTCCCTCCCCTCCTCCCTTTTCCCTTCCTTCTCCCTAGAACTTCTGCTAACTTCCATTCTCTCCAGGACTTCAGCACTGTTGGGAGAAGATCAGAAAAGCATCCCCACTGTTTTTATTTTAGTCCACTTGACCTCTGGGGAGTAGTTCCACTGGCTCATAAGTATTAGCCCCCGGCAGCACAGCACCCCACACTGAGCCTGAAAGCAATAAAGAATCCCAATCTGCTGTCACTGACGAACACGTTCAACCACCACATCCTCTACCCTTCTCATCTCCCTGCTTTCACATCACATCAACTAATTTCTCTATACCTCAGCCTCAACTCTGCCGACACTCTGCTCACCCTTCCTTACTGCCTTCCAGTGAGCTCCTCGAAAGAAGGGTCTGCAGTGAGGATGCCCCTTTATCTCTACTTATTTCCTTCCCATTACAAAAACCTGAAACCTGCCTTTCCCATGTTGATTTCACTTTATTCTCATCTTTACCCACAGGGTATGCCTCCTGCAATTCCTCCTAAACAATAGAATGGGAAAGAGGGGTCCTTGTCCTCTTTGCTCCCCACGACCATTTCTTCATTCTTCGCCCCCAAATCTCTATGATGTGTCCTCTTTGAAGTCCCTGATAAATGCATTACCACCTTCTCTCCAGTCTTACCATTTATCTGCACAAGTCATTCCAAACAGGGAGATTTTCAAACACCAATTCCTGAAGATCACCCCCAACATGCTTAACTGCGATCAAGACCTCCAAGATTCTGGCTTAGGAATCTGCTTTTTTTCTTCTTTTTTTTTTTTTTTTTTTTTTTATACAGCATCTTACTCTGTTGCCAGGCTAGAGTGCAGTGGTGCAATTATAGCTCGTTGTAACCTCAGACTCCTGGGCTCAAGTGATCCTCCCACCTCAGCCTCCCAAGTAGTTAGGACAACAGGAGCATGCCACCATGCCCAGCTAATTGATAATTTTTTTGTAAAAATGGATGGAGTCTCACTATTTTCCCAGGCTGCCATCAAACTCCTGACCTTAACCCATCCTCCATCTCCACCTACAAAAGTGTTGGGATTACAGCTGTGAGCCACAGGTGTGAGGCAGCCTAGACTCTGTATTCTTTAAATACCCACTAGATGCTTCTGCTTAGATAATTTGCTTGGTGATATTTGGAGACAAAGTATCTCTTTATTCTATTTGTTGACAAAACACTCCAATCCTCTCCCATCTTCCTCAGAAATTTTCACAGTTCATTTACAGCCCTTTTTCCAAAATATTCACTGCCAATATTCTTATTGACAATAACTACATTGTTGGACCTTCCCATATCCTGGATTCCCAGATCATGGCCCCCTCAAAGCCCCAATATGCAAATATCTGCAAAAAGAATGTTCCAGAGGAAAGGAACAGCTAATCCAATGCCCCTGTGGTATGATATGCCTGGAGGGTTGCAGACTAGTGTGGCCGGAGCAAAATGAACAGGAGCAAGAAGAAAGAAGTGGA